TCCCTCATGACCTGGGGGCTGTTCTCTGCATTGCTTCCTAATTTAGTGGAAGTGAAGGGTATCCAGGGCTTAGGGTTGGGGAAATGAATTTGCTAAGCTGCCTATATTCAAATTCCAGCTCCAAAGACTATCAGCCTCCCTGTGCCTCAGTTTCCCCATCCCTAAGATAGGGATAATAACAGCACCTGCCTGACAAGGCTGGTGAATGAGTGTACAAGAACTTGGAGCAGGGCCCAGTGCAGAGCAATAACGGTTACCATTGGGAGCGGGAGGAGTTGGCAGGGGGCAAGAACATGCACATGGGCACTGCAATCGGCCTGTCCTCTTTGGCCCCTGGCACCACCACTCACCTGCTGTGGGACCTGGGCAAGTTGCTCCAAGTGCTCTGAACTTTGGCTTTGCCCTCTGTGAAATAGGACTGCTCCCCTCCTCACAGAACTGTTGTGAGGCTTAAATGAAATAGTGTAGGCAGAGCTTAGCAGGCCTGGCACATAGTAGATACTCTGTAAACTTTTCTTCTGAAGTTCAAGGGTGGTGATCTACCTGGATGTCACCTATGACCTCTGAAAACCTTAGGGGTTGAGGATAGGAAAGCAGTGGTCCTTTCTGTCCCTGCCTCACCCTCACCTCAGCCTTCCTGAGCAACGGGAAGGGAGGCTGAGGAATTGATAAGGCCACAGGGTGGGGTCCAGAAGAGCGTGGTCAGCTGGGGGGCACTTGGGCAGTGTGAGCAGAGGGAGCAAAGGGCAGCCTGGCATGGAGGTGCGTGGCAGCATGCCTGTCCCCAGCAGGCACACCTCCCACTCCCCATGGCCCTTGGGAGTGGGCTGGCCTACCTCAGGCCATCTCAGCTTGTTGTCCACTGGGGTTTTCCTTGGGTGTTCCCTGGGGGCTGGCAGTGCCGGAGAGGGTGCAAATGACTCGGTAGGCTGCTAGCTCTTGGACTGGGTCCAGGTCTTGGAAGCCCCTTGGGCTGTCCCCTTCCCTACCTAGTCAGGCCACTAGGAGAAAGAGGTCTCTGAAGAGAGATAAAACTTGGGGGTCTGGACCTGCTCCATCTGGAGTTGGGCTTAAAGGTCTTTGCCAGAGTTCAGGGTCAGGTAATTGTATATCTGTGTATTTCCCCAGTCACCTCCTGTTGGCATCAGAGAAGGGAGGAAGTGTATGTGTGTGTGCGCATGTGCATGTGTCTATCTGTCTGTCTATCTCTACAGGTGACGGAGCAGGGCCAGGCATAGGTAGCAGTGGGAAGGGGTGAAATTCTGCCAGCCCCCCAGCCTTGGTGACCCATCAGGCCTCTGAGACCCAGAGTCTGGGCCCCAGAATCAGCCCTGCTGCAGCCTTCACTGAGGCCGGGGGTGTTAAGCATGTCTGGGGAAGAGCTAAAAGTGGCAGAAAACATCCTGTTTGAAAGCAGCGTGTTGCTGTATTTAACCCCTGCAGCGCCTGTCCCGCCTACACCTAGTCTCCGCAGACCAGAGATCTCAGACTCCTGCCTTTGAAGCTGTCCTGCCACCTGGTCCAGCTCCTCTGCAGCTGCCCTGCAGCCTGGCTCTCAGCAATGGGCGTGACACCCCGTGGCTCTGTCCTGAGCACGCCTAACACTGGGGACATGGGGAGCGTGAGGGCTCCCTTAGAGAGGGACCCTTTCCCCGCTGACACCCTGAGCTGGGAGAGGAGGAAGAGAGCCTGCAGCAGGGGTGCTCTCCTTTCACCCATGGCCTGGGTGCTGCCCTCACCCCTTCCCACTGCCTCTTGCTGCGTCTTGCCTCAGGGAGGGCCGTTCTGGTGGCTATCTGGCCCCGCCCCACAGCCCTGAGGGAGATGACATGGCACGCCTGCCCCCAAGCAGCCACTTCAGTCCCCTGATGTGGGGACTGAAGTCCCTGGAAAGAGCCTCTCGCAGGTGCTCGTTGGGCTCCTTAGAGAAATGGCTGGGAGGTCGGAGCTATGCTTTAGAGAAAACCTTTCCCTTTCCTTGTTGCAGAAGCCTTTTGGTCTGAAGTGTCTGTGAGCCCTCACAGAAGAGCACCTTGAGCTCCGCTTACCTGCCCTGCTCCTTCAGGTAGGTGTTTCCCCATCAGCCACTGCCTCCCTGGCTTTCTGTGTTTGAGGGGTGGGGGTCATAGGAAGGTGGTGGGCAGGGAAGGAAGGGAATACTACTGAGGGTTTGCTGATGCAGGTCCCGCATCTGCAGCTGAGACCCACAGGCATGGGGTGGGCGTGGCTGCTCAGAGGGGCTCAGGAGGGAGAGTCTTGCTGCCTCCTGGCCAGGACCCCAGGGGGCTGTCTTGCCTGTTTGGTGCTTCCTATCCAGCCCCCATCTCCTCTTTCTTTCTCCTGCCCTCCGCAGCCCCTGCCAGTCATTCCTGGGACTTTCGGCTCTCAGGCCATAGAGTCCTGAGCCTCTTCTCCACATCTGGTCTCTGGTCCTGGGCTCTGCCTTCTTGGTACCAGCAAATAACCCGAAGCAGGTCGGGGTCTTCTGTCAGCTCCCCTGAAGTGGTCCTGCACACTGTGGGCCTCCGGCTGCCGGGTCCAGCCTTCACGTCCATCCAGCCTAACCCCATGCCCGGGCCCTCACCCAGGCCAGGAGACTTCCCGATGTCAAGGCAGTCAGGCCCTCACCCCACTGCATGACCGCACTGCTGCCGTGCTGTGGTAGTGTATTGTCCCAACTCGCTTGCATCATAGCATCTCCAAGTGAGCCCATGTGATGCTGAACACTTGCTGGACGGACTTGACTGATATTCCCTTCTACCCCCGATTTGAGTTCTCTTTTTCCCACCAAATCCACTGGATGTTTGGGAGCCTGGATGACCCAGACTCTGCAACAACATCATGATGACTCGGAGCTGTGACATCTTGGCTGACCCAGGGTTAAGCCACAAGCATCCTAGACAGTTTCTCCAATGACCCCACCATGGTGTTGGGCCTCTGGGATCCCTGCCCACGTCTTGGATGTGTGCTATGTTCTAAAACCTGTAGGAGTCAGCTGGGACTTGGGATGGTCTATAGGGACAATGTTGACAGACCCACAGGCGCTTTTTCTATTTTTTGTTTCATAATTTCATAATTTATTTTAAATTAGGAAATGTCTCATATATATAGGAGGGCATATGAACATAGACATAGTGTTTTCATCATAATAATAAGATACCATATACCTAGTAGTCAAAAAATAGAATGTTTCTAGTGCCTAACACCTCTATATACTCCTCCCCAATCTCCTCTCTTCAAAGGCTTCTGTTAATCATTCCTTTGTTCTTTTTTATGTGAGAAAGAAAGAGAGAGAGAGAGAGAGAGAAATATATAGAAAGAGCGAGCAAGATACATATATGTATACACACACACACACACACACACACACACAAAGAGAGGGTTTGTGTGTGTGTGTGTATATTTATAAACATTATAGTTTAGGAAGTATAAATCTAGCTGTGAAAGGGATGGGCAATAGTGTCACTATTATTAAATTAATGTTTCCAGGAAAAGAAAAGCTGAAAGAGAAGGTTAAGGGATCTCCCGTGTCTGTCTGTGACCAGGATTTGCTCTGTCCCTTCGGGACTGACAATGCTGTGTCCTTGCTTATCTTCCTTCCCTTGGTGTGAAGCTCTTTATAGAATTTTAAAAAATTAAGTATTTGTTTTGTGCATTTTGCAATAGTAGTTGCTAGAGATGTCTCAAGGCTTGGGCATCACTGGGCCTCACTTGTAAAGGGGGTGGTATGAAGAGGAAATGAATTGAGACTCTAATGAGCTTTGATGTTCCAAAGCCTGGATCAGAGACTGTGGCCCTTGGCATGGAAAAGTAGCTCAGAGCCTCTCAAGAACCCCCAGGGTCTGCCTCTCTCGCCTAGGGGTGGGAAAAGATGGTACCCTGGGCTGCGGGTAGGGGGTGCTTGTCCCCTCATTCCTGGCTTTCTCTCTTATTTTTCTTCTGACCTGAGGGACCCTCTTGCCTTGGGTCAAAGGGGCCACTTAAACCTGTAATGTCCCTTGTGAGGATTCAGATGAAACTGGGAGAACTGGGAGGCAGCAGGATCTGAAAGCATTTCAGGGAGGACTGAGGTGTCCCAGAGTCAGCTCTGAGTGTGACAGCGGTTGGGATCAGAGGCAGCAGGCGAGGCCAAGAGCCCAATTTGCCTAATGGAAGAGTCCAGCCCGCTGCTTCCTGAGAGGGCCTCCCAGAGCTGTTACATTGTGTTCCTTCTTTTCCCCTTTTGCTCAAGTGCGAAATCCATGTCTAGATGATAATGCCTATTTATAAAAAATGTCTTTGAAAAGAAAATTAGTTAATTGTATATGACTCACATGATTCACGAGCATAGTCAAACTAACGTTTTAAATATTATTGCAAACAAAAAGGGGAAAGTATTCTGGTCACCTTGGTACCAGGACACTGGGGCATGCGCTTGTTAGTCCAGGCTATATGGCCAGGGCTCCAGCTTGGGTGCTTGAGTCTTCTGTTCCCCTCATCCTCAAGAGGAGAGGAGGTGAGGGTTTATCCTTGCGTGTGAGGGGCTGAAGTTGTGGGAGGGCTCCTGTTTTCTCTAGGAGAGGGCCCTAGGTAAGATAGAGGGCCCTGAGCTGGTTCAGGTCTGCGACAGGGGCAGAGCTGGTGCCAGTGGTGTGAGTATGTTCATTCCCATGATCCTCACTCGCACCCTAGAAAAATGCCTCTTCAGATGAGGACAGGGTCAGGGGGCACATCGAGGCCAACCACCTCCTTCAAAGTAGCCAGACAGATGCAGAATCTTCACCCAGGCAGTTTGATTCCAGGCCATGCTCTGAGCCAGCTGTGTGGGGAGAGCCATTCAGCGAGTGATCCAGAGAAATCGTGCTCAGGCCTGGGCCCTGGGGAGCTGCCCAGCTTTGCTGAGCTCCCTGGTGGTGGCGGGGGGGAGGGGTGGTGTGGGCACGAGGGGCTGGTACCAAGGATGCCAGTGGGCCCTGGCACTGACTCTGGCTATGGCTGTGACCTATCTGCTGTTCTTACAGGGATGGAGGCGATGGCAGCCAGCACGTCCCTGCCTGACCCTGGTGACTTTGACCGAAATGTTCCCCGGATCTGCGGGGTATGCGGAGACCGAGCCACGGGCTTTCACTTCAATGCTATGACCTGTGAAGGCTGCAAAGGCTTCTTCAGGTGAGGCTTCCTCCCAGGCTCTTTCCAAGAACAAGAGAGGGAAAGGAAACAAGACGTTCCCATGAAGAAAACCCCTGCATTTTTCATGTCTCTTCCTTCCACATCCATGGAACATGCCAGCTCTCACAGCTGTGGGAGCAACAGAGTCTTGGTGACGGGTATCTTCTCCCCAACCCCAGCACCAGCTGTGTCCTCTGGTCCTCTTGGAAATCACTTTCCTGAGGTTGCTGTGTGGGGCTCCATCTTCCTGTCACCCCTTGGACCATAGCCCCCTGCACCGACCCATGTGTCTGTCCTTCCAGAGGGGACCTTATCCCCAGCTTATGTGCACAGCCTCCTAACCCAAGAGACAGACCATGTCTTCGAGGAAGCCCAAGAGATTGGCTTCAGAGCGTACTTCCCCCTCCGATCCAACTGCACCCCTGTTGGGCCACTGTACCTGATCTGTATCCATATCGTTACCCATGGCTTCTCTGTCCCAGGTCTGAAAGCCAACCTCAGAATGCCCAGGCAATGTCAGGAATGCACTGGCAATCCAGTTTGGTCAGGGCCAGTTTCTCTACCAGCTCCTCTTCTCTCCGTTTGTGAGCGTAGGATTACAAGTGCAAACAGTGGGGGGAAAGCACCGGAAAGGCCCAAGAAGTTTCCCATCCAAAGCCAGAGAGGGAGGATGGGAAAGTGATGGATTGCAGGTTGGAACTGGGAACCACGAGAGATTAGCATTGGCATATATTGGAGAGAGAGAAAGTAGCCTGGAAGAAGGCGGCCTGAAGAAAGCGTAGGTCTGACAGTCGGGTTGGAGGTGGGTACAGTGGAGGACAGGACTGTGACTGTCAAATGAGGAAAGAGCACATCAGGTCCAGGATGAGAACTCTGAGGTCTGTCTGGCTCCTGTCTGAACCGAAGAGCTTGCCTCACCTTGAGGGCAGAGTAAATCAGAGTCCAGGGGACTCATGTGGTACATGCTCCTGTGGTGTAGGGACTCTGGGGACTCTTGACTCACCTGCCCTTCACCCCAGGAACCAGCAGGCCCGAGTTTCATGGCCTTGAGCAATTGCTGGGCAGCGGGGTTTCTGTGGGTGCTAATTGTTCCCAGCTCGGGGAACCAGACCAGCAGCATGGCTGGCTCTAGGTCCTGTCGATCCTCGGGCCCGAAGCCCACACTTCATGCAGGGTGGGCCTTCCAGAGCCCAGGCCATGTGTCTCAGGTGCCACCTGGTCCCTTTTCTGTCAGGGCCTGAGAATGGGAGCTGCCTTCTGCGTGGTAATGGAGAAGGAATCTGGACACACACATCGGGACCTGCTTCCTGCCATGAAACCCTCAGAAATGCATGGGCTGGGGTGCTGGCCATTAATTAACCAATGTCCTTGCTCAAACACCTTGACTTCTCTATGTTTCAGTTAACTCAACTAACCCCATGAGTGATTGATATCTGACCCCCCACTACATAGAGTTAATCTGAGGATTAATGAGATAACATGTATAAAAGAGCTTTGAAAAACATAAAGAACAATACATTGTTTTTTAGCCTGGTGGGCCGCTATTGCTGCCTTTGGTGGAACCATGTCCTCATAAAATAAACAAAAGTCTCCAGCCAGCCAGCCAGCCATCCTCATCCTCACTCCCTCAGCAGATTTGAATGAACGTCTACGATCCAGCATTGGGCTAGGCACTGGCAGTATGGAGATTCTCACCAAAGGCCATAGCTCACCAATCTGCCACCAACACGTCCCCAGTAGCACTTGGTTAATGAATTAGCCAAACATCCTCAAGCCGACCCCAAATCCCTCTCTCTTCCAAGGCCACCTAACCCCTGGTGTCCAGCTCTGGGAAATGGGACGCTTAGGTGGCTGCATGTTGGATTATGACATATTGGAGATCAGTTCCTCACTGCAGTGGCTCTAACTCCTGTTACCTGTGGTTGCTGTCCTTGGACACACCACTAGTCTCTGAATCCTCGGGACAGGACCATGTGAGGCACCTGGGTAGAGGAAGGACAGGTCTCCTCATGCCCAGGGCCAATAGTGGGAGATGGCAGAATGGACAGGGATGGTATGTTTGCACATGCGTCTCACCGCAGAGCAACTGTGCAGCTGTGTTGCCTGTGGGCACACGATGCTACTATGACCCGCCCCACTCGGTAGGACCCCATAGAATCCGTTGCTGGCTGATGGCCACAGCCGCTACCTGTGAGGGCTGGCACTATGGCCACAGGCTGCTTTTGTCTTGTTACCCTGTCCTCAGCGTACCTTGGATCTTTACTGTCTCTGTCTGGGTGACTGAGCCAGGCTGCACTTTCTAAAGAGCCAACACATCTCTGTCATTTGGTTTGAATTTCATTTGATATATACATAAATAAATACACACACAGACACACACACACACACATCCTAATTATTCATGGATTCTATATTTGCAAATTTGCCTACTTGCTAAAATTTACCAAAATCAATACTGGCAGCGCTTTTGTGGTCATTTCTGGACACGCACACAGCAGGGAAAAATTTGCATCACCCGATGCGCATCTTCTCAGCTGAGGTTGAGCAAGGTGACAGTCTGCCTTCCGTTTCAGCTTTCATACTATAAACAAATGTCCTTTTCACAGTCTATTTAGTGCTATGCTTTTGGCATTTTTGTGATTTTATTGGTGATTTTGCTGTTTAAAGTGGTTCCCATATGTAGTGCAGCTGTGCTGTCTAGTGTTCTTAAGTGTAAGAGGCCATGATGTACTTTACAGAGAAACTATGTGTGTTAGACAAGCTTCATTCAGACAACAGTACTATTGGCTTTTGGTTCTACGTTAATAAATCAACAGTATGTATTAAATAAGATGTCTTAAACAGAAAACATACATAAAATAAAATTATGTATTGATCAGTTGATGAAAATGTTGTGACCAGAGGAACATAGCCCTGTATTTCCCCCAGGAGCAACGGTTAGGATTCACCAATCCAGTACTCACTCACCTTATAGACCATAACCATAACCGCAGATAATGGGAATCGACTGCATATGCATCATTTCTCCTCTCCTTCGCTTCACTCAAATAGTATCTGGAATTTCTCCATTTCAGTCTAGTTCAAATCATGGCTTAAGAATCCTATTGTCCTTTATATCCGTTTGTTTGTGAAATTCTGATCTCAGGAAGGAGAACTATGTCCGTGGCTGGTGCCTTCTCTGTGTCAAGCACTGTGTCTCTGGGGACACAGAGATGAGGGCAACGAAGTGCTTGCTCTCAAGGAGCTCACGTTACCCTGTCATGGCA